CTCCCCCGCCCTCCCCCGCCCTCCACCTTTCCTTCGTCTGTCCGTCGGCTTTCCATCCTAACCCCCCGGGCGTTCCCCGCGCTGGCGGGCAGGCTTTTCGGCTTCTCCACGGTCGAAACCGGCGACAACATTGGCGGCTTCATCATCGACGCCATCATCATCATCTCGGCGGTCATCATCATGACCATCATCCTGGCGGTCATGTTCTGGTTTGGCCTATTCAAGATCATCTTCGGATACCTGATTTTCAGTACCGGCGTCTTGCTTGGTGGCATGGGCGCCTTGTTTGCCATGTGCGTTCTCCTTTGGCACTTCGCATCCTCTTCCGGGTGTTCGTGGGGCCTTTTTGCCTCTTTCTTTCTTCCGTGTCACCTCCCGACCCTCAGCTCATGCTTCGTCTCCCCCGTCTCGCCCCCGCCCCCCTGGCGCAACGCCGGCAGCTCGCAATCTTTGGCACTCAATATCCCGATGGACTATATTACGATTGTCTTTGCAGCAGTCAACTTTGCCGTCGGCGGCTTGGTCCTGGTGTTTTATTGTTCGCACCTGCGCCTGCAGCAGGCGTACCTGACGGTCATGAGCGCGCTCCTGGTGCGTCGGCGGACGCCTCGATGCCTTGCGCCCTTTGCCCATGCCCCTCTCTCCGGTGCCCCTTTTTCTTTCCTGGCACTTCCACTGACCCCAGCTTTGTCCTCTTGCTTGCTCTCGGTCCGGACCTCAGGCTTGGTCCCTCACGCGCATCAACGAGATCACCACCTGGGTGTTGCTCGGGCTGCTGGTCATCTGGGATATCATCGCCGTGCTGACGCCCTGTGGCCCGCTGAAGCTGCTGATTGCAGCCAGTCGCCGCCACCAGAAGGACATCCCGGCGCTTTTGTATAGTGGTGCGCCGGCAACCATTCGCTTCCCTCCACACACACACACACACACACACGCATTAGTTCTTCCCCCCTGTGGCGACGGGCTGCATGCTAATCAGGTGCCTCACTCCCCCCCCCTCCCCCCCCTCCGGCGTTTGTGTATGCATATGCATGCACCTGTATGTGCGGCATCCCCCCGCTCAGTCACCATGGTGTGGTTCATGGCTCACGATCCGGAGCATGGGATCCTTGGTGGGGGCAAGTCGAGCGACGCCTCGCCGGTCGACTCGTCGGACGAGGTGCTCGCTCCTGTCCGGACGGGGGGCCGCCACGGGGGGAATGGAGGCGGCCGCCGGCGCCAATCCACCCCCCCACGAGGGGCCCTGCTCACCGATGAGGGAGTGGAGTTGCACGATCTGACCGGCCCGGTGCCGGCCAGTCCTGAACATGCCCCCGCCTCCGAGGGGGACCTCCGGTCCGGCACCGAGGCCGAAGCGGCCGATGTGGATCCCCATTTGGCGGATGCCGATCCGGATGCCGCCGACACCGGGGCCCAGGAAGATGAGGACGCCCCCCCGGCCGAGGCCAAGGCGCGCGACGGCCTCAAGCTTGGCCTTGGGGACTTTGTTTTCTACAGCGTCCTCCTGGGCCGCGCGGCCCTGTCCGACTGGACGACGACGGTCACTTGCCTGGTGGCGGTGTCAGCTGGCCTGATGTCCACCATCTTCCTCCTTGCCTTCTTTCGGCGGGCCCTCCCTGCCCTCCCGATTTCCCTGGTCCTTGGCATCATCTTTTTCTTCGTCACGCGGGCTGTCATCACTCCGTTCGTGCTGGAGCACGTTTCTGGCGTGGTGGGCCTGTGAGAGACACGCACACATAAACACACACACACAGAGAGAGAGAGAGAAAGAGCGCGCAGGGCAGGAGCAGGTGGCATCGATTGCCGGGCGGATGCCCTTGGATGGACCAAGGGGCGCTGGCCCGCACGAGCCGGGGAGTGTGTGCTTCCTGTTTTGTGTCTCTGCTCCGTCCCTTCGCGCTGGTGGAGCATGGGTCTCTGGTGCGCACGCTCACTCTCTGTCTCCTCCCCCCCCCCCCCCCCCCCCCCCCCCCCCCCCCCCCCCCCCCCGCCCCACAGGACCCGCCCCCCCCCCCCTCCCTCTCTCTGCCTCCTGCCATCCTCGTTTCCGAAGCCTCCTTTCCCCGCTTCGCCTTTCCACAAACAATACACTGGCCAGGGGACGGGATCCTGGCCGATCGACGAGAGCCGCATCACGTGGTGCCCTTCGGAATGACCGGTCTGGAATGGCGACAGACTGTGTTGGAGCGGGGGGCGCTCCCTGGCCCTGTTCTGAAAGTGGAGCACTTCCGTGTGCGCGTTAGCCGCTTCAGACGAACTGAGGTTCCGCGTCCGCTTGCGGGCCGGAGGGGCGCGAAGGAGGGCGGGCACGTACGCCCCGGTGCCGGGAGGCGGGGGGGCGGGGGGGAGGGGGGACCCTACCTCCCGTCTACTCTGCAACGGGCTCATGTCACCCCGGGCGGCTCCTGCGGGAGGGTGCCCGCGTCTAGGCCTGGCCGAGCTCCCCCCCCCCCTCCCCGGGCGTTGGGTCCATCTTGTCCGTGGCCGGGTGTGGGCATATTCCTCTGGACATGGAGGGGTAATTACGCCAAAAATACCTTCCCGAGGCGGGGAGCGGGGAGCGGGGAGCGGGGAACGGGGAGCGGGGAACGGGGAGCGGGGGGGGTGAGAAGCGCCCGGGCTTATTTTAATTGAGCGCTGGGCTCCGCTTGCCCTTTGGGCTCGGATGTGGGGCCCAGGACCCGGGGGGAGGGGGGGCCTGCGCCGGGCCGGGCCGGGCCGGGGGCGGGAGGGGGGCCGTGTCGCCTTCCGTCGTGGTGTTTTTAGGGGCGGGGCCGATCGCCGGTGATTGGGCAGCGGCCTCGCCGGGAGCTGCTGCTTGCGCAAGCGTCCTGGCGCTCGCCCCTGCGCCGGGGGCGTCCTCCCGGGCGGGTGTGCGTCGCCCCGGGGGCTGCCCGAGCGGGCCCCACCCCTGGGAGGGCGGGAAAGGGGGCGAAAAAAACGGGGAACTCGCTTGGTCGTCGTTTTTTGAGATGAAGTTCCTCCGTGTGGCCGGCGGCAGGGGGGCGGGGGGGGATGCGTGCACCCGTGTGGCCTGGGCGCGCGCGAGCGCGCTGGTGCGCCCACGGCCGCGCGCGCATTTGACAGACACGCGAGTTTCCGGCCACCCGATCAACTGGTGCGAGTGGCCTGGCATCGATGCACGAACCCCCGGTGTCTTGCTGGCACCCATGTCCCGGCACCGGGCATGTTGCGGAGACGCGGGCCCCGGCCGCCGTTGTCGCCTCCACACCCGGCCGAACAGCCGTGTCGGCCTGCCAACCCCGGGGGGGGGGGGGGGGGG